AGTACCAAAGACACTCTGCCACTGAGCTACATCAGTTCTTTTTAATTTTAGTTCGAGGCAGGATCTCACTAAGTTACCAGGGCTGGCCTTGAAACTCAAAATCCTCCTGTCTCAGTCTCCCAAGTAGCTAGGATTACAGGCGTGCACCACCACAACCAAAAGTAGCAAATGCCTTATAACTGTTAATCACCACTTTCATTTTTAGTCCCTTTGGCTCACCTTCAAAGAATTTTTAATTATCATTTATATTCCCTGCCAATAGGTGCATCAACATGTGATAGAGAGCTAAAATTGTAGATTATTGTAGATTATTAAATTTGTAGATCATTGATATGTTTGGTAGGTTTTAAAAGATTATAAAGTTTGATTACTTTTTTATCTCATTTTGGAGCCAGTATGTTTATAAGGCTTTCATATTTGATGGGCAAAGAAATGAAAATAATGTCATTCTACATTTGATTCACTTCACTGATTTTTCATATTTTGAAGATTACATAGTATTTATTAGCATTAAGACAACATTTAACCAGAAGTCTCCATTGACTTTACCTGTTATAACCTAGAGCACATGGAACTCATGCATACCTCTAGTCATGTCCTTAATGCTTTGTTGTGAGTTAAATTTTGAGGCATGCTTCCTCTATTCTAAGCAAAGGAGCAAAGAGGTGGTGAGGGGAAGGAAAGACAGAGCCACGCTGCATACCTCTGTCCTCTTTGGAAAAAAGAGGGGAAGTGCTTGCCAAACTGCACCCCAGTGCTTAGCTTGTCTAAATCCAGAAGAAACAGTTAGTCTTACCTCTCTTGGATTGGGAAACCCATTGGCAGTGATAATCTTCTTGTAATATTGAACTGAAGCCTTAGGATAGCGAGGCTTATTTCTGACATTAAATTCAACATAGTAGAATCCATATCTATCTGTGTATCCTTTTTCCCATTCAAACTTATCCAACAGAGACCAGGAAGTATACCCTTTTATATTAGCACCATCTTTTATAGCTGAAAAGACATTTATTCCACTTTTAACATATTTCATTTACTTAAAAAATAATATTGTGAAGATAATATTAAAATGTTTTTATTTATGAGATTTAGAGACAAGTCATAGTTGATCATGTGTTATCAAATTTTGTTTAAGGTGCATAGAAAAATATGTGAAGACATTGTTGGTTTGTATCTCACCTTTTAGCATTTCATTTATGTATCCTTTAAGGTACTGWATTCTCCACTCATCACATAATTGTGTACAGTGTTCTTTTTGAGATGCTCCATTTTCTGTCACATATATGGGAGGATCRCCATATTGAGTCTGTAAGTGAGTCAGAGTAACATATCTTAAAAATTCTGACTTACAGGTAGATTTCTGGATCAGATACTCTTATAACAACATGTATTCAAGGCTACCAGATTCTAATCAAGTACATCTTAGCATGTACTAAGTGTCAGTTAACATGTTTATTTAGAGATGAGTGTAGGCAAGAGGCGCATTAATGTGAAAGAATATATTTCTCAATAAATTGGCATTGTTGGAGGGAAAATGCACCTTGAGTCTTGTTCTTTCCTACATATTCCATTTCAGGTGAGAAGGACAACAAAACACCTAAATGTGGGATAAGAATTTTTAGCTAAAATTGTATATGTTGAAGGAATTATTCATAAAAGGTATTGGTCTGCAAGGCCAATTCTCACAATCTGAAGTATAGGTAATTGGATTTATTTTATTACCTTTCACATGTAGTCACCTGAGTTTAAGCTGTGAGAATATGAATTCAGGTCTAAAAGTTCTTTACAGAGCTTAATACAATAARTACCTGAGCAAAGTTAAGGAGCCTCCTAAATCCCCATGGCACTGAATAGAGCCAGTTAGATCCAAGATCTGGCCAGTTTGGATCAATAAGTTCTATTAAGTCACGGTCATTCTGGTAGCTGGGCCCCTGGYGGGAGGGGTAGTTCCTTTCAGTGATGTATCTTGTTGTAAAATGACCTAATCCCAGGAAATCAGATGTGCCTTTAATGTAGCTCTTCTCCTGGAGGGAGAACTCTGGTAATCTGGACATATCCAGGCCTTGCTSTTCACTCTTTCTTCCTATTGAGAGAAAACAAGAAGATTTAACCAAGTCTTATATTCTCACAATCATCATTTTATTTTTATGTACCACTATGATAATGGCATGTGGACATAAAAGCTGGACTTCAGGATTCGTCTGCATGGAAAAATATGACCTTTGCCTTCCAAACTGGGATTTTAGCATCTGAATACTATCCAAAGGAATTTAAAGTTTTTATTGCTTAAAAGTAACAATTTCAGGGCCAAGGTTGTGGTTCAGTGGTAGAGCACTTGCCTAGCATGCGTGAAGCACTGGGTTTGATCCCTGGCATCACATAAAAATAAAAACAAATAAATAAAGGTATTGTGTCGTCCATCTACAACTAAAAAAAAAAAAATTTAAAGTAACAATTTCATGCTGGGGTTGTAGCTCAGTGGTGGAGCGCTTGCCTTGCACATATGAGGCCATGGATTTGATCCTCAGCACGACATAAAAATAAATTAAAATATTGTGCCCATCTACAACTAAAAAAAATATTTAAAATAACATTTTCATGGATTAGTTAAGTGGTATGTGGRCAACTGGGTAGCTATATGGAAAAATGTAGAGTTGGACTCCTGTATTATTCCTTACATCAAAAATTGGTAATTTTGATCTTTGGAAGGCCAGTGGTGGTATAGGACCAACATGGACATGTTYACACATTGTAGTTGGTAGTGTGAAGTGTGACAATCTCTGCATTGGGCAATTTTGTTCTTTCACAATTGTAAACTATTATGTCCTTTCACTAGCCAGTCCCCAAACTATTTATTCTATATTTTACTCACACATGTAAAAGGATGTATGTGCAAGAATCTTCATTATAGATTGAGCAGCAAAAGATTGGAAATAACTGGGGATGAGGCTTAGTGGTGGAATGTTTGCCTGGCATACACGAGATGCTGGATTCTATCCCTGGCACCRCAAAAAAGAGGGGAAGGAAGAGGAGAAAAAAATTTTTAATGAATTATTCGCCAGTACAACATGCAGCCATTAGAATGGAAGAGGCAGCACTTTATATATTAACATGAAAAGAATGCCAACAGATATGCATAAGTGGAAAAAAGATGCACGCTCAGTGTAGCATGTACWAATAAGTACATACTTTGGACAAACAGCAGTGATTTGGCTCCCATAGACCCAGTCTATCACTGACAGTGTACTTTCCTCTGGGAGGATAGAAGAAGATGGAGGGACGCTTGATTTTCACTTTGTATTTTTTTGTGCTTGAAAAAAGTTTAAAATGTGTCCTTCTGTAAAACCTTTGCAAATTTTTAAAAAATTATWAAGAAAAGCAACATTTTTGTTAGTTGATCTACAATATGACCATAAAAGCATTTCCAAAGAGGCTATTGGTTTAGATTAAGTGAATGAAAAGTTTGTATTATTAAATACCTTTAAAATATTAGCATGTTATTACCTTCAGTTATATTTAGTAACATGAAAAACTATAAGATACTGTTTCTATACTAATACAGTAGCTACTTGCTATGTGTATATTAAAATATGACTAGATTCAGTCACACTGACGAATGATTTTTATTTTATTTTACTCTTAAGCTTAAATAGGCATCTGTGGCCACAAGCATTGCCTTTGTAGTAGACAGCACAGATGGAAAGCATATCCATCATCACAAAGTTATGGCAGACTGCACTGGCCTAGAGTTACTTTTTTACTTTTGTTCATGTTTATTAAGGTGTTTTTGTTTTGTTTTGTTTTGTTTTGGTTTTGGTAGTGCTAAGAATTTTACCCAGGGCCTCATGCATGCCAGGCAAGACACTTTACCACTGAGCCATATCCCCAGCCCAATAAAAGGTGATTCTCAAAAACCTGAAAGTAATTTGTAAACAAGATTTCCAGTATAGTGCTTTCATTACTAAAAATAAATAAATAAAATTGCCTATAGGGTCCTCCTCTCCACACTGTACAAAGCCCTGTTCCCACTTGAATCATTACCAAATTGAAATTGATGGGGTCTGGAATTATTGGCCTTAAGACCAAACACTTCTCTGTAATAATCTATTTGGCTTTTTAGTGCAGTCCTCCTGTAGCACCTGCAATGTCTTCTCAGGGTCCTGAGAAAGCAAATGTACTGTGTGAATGATAGGGTGTTCTGCAGGGATACTGGCCCTGAGGGCTTTTTCCTTGAAATAATAATTAAGAGTTTGACTGTCTGTATATAAAGTATTACAGAACTAGTTATTGCCAAAAGATTGTGAGKTTACTTTGTCTAATCTGTTCATTTTCCAGAGTGAGAAAATAGATTCCCTATTTTTCTAGCCATTTTACCTGGAATTTCCTGTTATGTGGGCAGTTAATAGCTTCCAAACTGAGGGCTGGGGATATAGCTCAGTAGTAGAGCACTTGCTTACCAGGCACAAGGCTGTGGGTTCAATCCCCAGCACCCCAAGGGGAAAAAAAAGAAAGAAAGAAAAGAAAAAGCTCTATAAGCTTTACTTGTCTTCATTTGATTCCCTGACACTTTGGAAACCAGAGCTTTGAAAGTATTTCTCAAGCAGCACAAAGAACCAACAATTGAACCTATCTCTGCTAACTGGATCTAGGCTGTCATCTACTTCATTGAAGATACAAGGGAGTAGAGCAGGCAGAGGAGACAGGACAGCATAACAGCAGAGGGCAGCCCAAAGACCTAGCATGGTTTTTCCTTTGTTCTGAATTCTCAATTCCAATTCTAGGGATTTGTTTGATGTTCCCCCATCCCACCCTGCTACCTTCCAGCTCTCAAATAACTAGTTAATACTTTGGGACTGGGTTATCCCTTGAGTGCCTTGCCAAGCCCAGGTCCTCTTCTGTTCCCTGCTTTCTCCTCATTTCACTTGGACTCAGTAACTGTTGCTCCTGAGGTGACTTGGTGGCAACAAGTGGTGGAGATCCTTAAGTAAAATAAACCAGGCTCAGAAAGGTGAGTACTGCATTATCTCACTCAAATGTGGAGTATAAAAACTTGAACKCACAGAAGTTGACAGTAAACAGTGGTAACCAGAGGCTGGTGGAGGATGGGATGGGGTAGGGTAGGGAGAAGTTGATCAAGGGGTACTGTTGCAGTTCCATAGGAGTAAGAAGTTCTGGGGTTCTCTTGCACAGTTCAATAATGTACTCCCCTTCCCCCAAGTACTGAGAATTGAAACCAGGGAGTCTATACCACTAGTTACATCCCCAGCCCTTTTTATTTCATTTTTTATTTTGAGACAGGACTGATCTTAAACTTGTGATCCTCCTGCCTTAGCCTCCCAAATYACTRTAACAGGTGTGCACCACTACCCAGGATGTTCTATACTTTTCAAAAAACTAGAAGAAAGGAGTTTATAAGTTTTCACCATAAAGAAATGTTAATGCCAGGGATCTAAGCCAGGGCCTTGTGCATGCTAGGAAAGTGCTCTATTATTGGGCTTCATCCCCAGCCCTAGAAACGATAGTGTTCAAGGCAATAGATTTAACATGATTTAAACATTACAAAATATATACATGTATTTGAACATCACATGCTACCTGATAGATATGTATAATATTTGTTTTTATCAGTTAAAWATAAATTTAAKTAAAAATATGAAAATATGACTTMGCTCACCAATATGGTCTTTCATGACTTCGGGATAGTCACCAGCATAAATGGGGTTGGCAAACCAGCCCAGGCAGAATTGTAGGTATCTCTCAGCAGCCTCTACATCCCTGGGGTTATTGATGTCCACAGGTTCCCCCCAGTCACAGTTCAGTGAAATCCCCACCAGACCTTAAAAGAAAAGGTGGGTAGGAAGTATGCATGACATGGCTCCTCTTGGCACCTGTGTTTCAGCTCCTTTGTGGGGTTCCAGCTCACCTTGCTGCTTGTTGCGCCACTTCTTCCTGTAAGAATGCCAGGCTTGGGCATGGGCCTGAAAGGAGCAGGAATTCACCATGGGTGCCTGACTCATCTATTTCTTTTCCCCCCTTTCAATCTGGGATGGTCTTTCCTTCCTAACTCCAAAAAGTTTAAGACCTAACATTTTTCTAAATCTAGCCCTGATTGTCCCAATCCACAGTCTCCCTCTGACTTCCAGAGGCACTTAAATTTCTATTTACTGTCTGGCATAAACCACTTCATGTTGTCATTTATTATTTCTAAGATTGTTGCACAAATTCTTTGTTCCTGTTTGTCTGTTGCAACTAGGCTGTACTTTCCTACAGGTACTCTGCAAGTTAGGACAACACCACATGGAACAATCAGGAAATGAAATGGGAAATGTACATCCAGTTTTTTCTCCATATTCTCTACCAGGACCCTCTGGTCTGCTGTAAAGTCTATTTCAAAGGCTAGGTCAGTATCTAAGAGAGATGAAAGGTTATCTGGAACAGTGGTTCTTAAAGTATGGACCAAGAGCATCATCATCGCCTGGAAATTTGATAAAAATGCAAATTCATGGTCCTTACCCRGACCTACTGAATCAGAAGATCTGGGAGGGGGGCCCAGCAACCTTTTAATAAGGCTTTCATGTGATTCCCACACTTGCTGAAGTTTGAGGAGCAGAATTAACATCTAAAGACTACAAAGTTGGGGATATTGCCTGTTTCTCCCAGAGAACCCTTATTTATCAGTCTTCTCTCCCTATTTTGCCAGCCAGCAATAACTAGAAAACAATGAACTATAGAATTGTCTGATAATGTGGAACATATCAAAAACAATATTAAATCACTTCTATTCAGCTTACTATCTTTTATAGATAAGAAGGCCTGAAGAGTGATCTCCATGTTATTAAAGATGTCTTCAGAGCTCTGTTCTTTAAATATTCAGTTTAAGAAATCGTGATTGGGATTGTGGCTCAGTGGTAGAGCACTTGCTTAGCATGTGTGAGACACTGGGTTGGATCCTCAGCACCACATAGACACAATACCTTTATTTATTTTTATCTACAACTAAAAAAAAAATCTTTTTAAATCGTAAATCAAGCATAGAAAGAATGATGTTTGCCTCACCTCCAGCCCAGAACAGTGGAGTTGGCTGACTTCTGAAACCAGGAACCCAATTAATTTTCTTCTCTAAGTTGTTCTTGTCAAGTATTTTTGTTAGTGTTGAAAAGCTAACATCTATCTTCTTCAAAATGTCCATTGGACCTATCTCATCACCCCTTGAATCCCTTTTCTGCAGGCATCATCACTTGTATTTGAAGCTACATCCTATGTATGATGTGACCTGATTTTCTCCCATTCTTCTCACAGCTTTCCTGTACTTGTAACTCATGGTTAGTCATCTTCTCTGAATGTCTCCTCCACTTTCTTGCCTAGAACACCACCTGGCTGCCCTAAAGATCATAAGGCATTTTTTTCCCCACACCCCACATGCCTTTGGGCCTAGAAGAGGGCTGGTGTTTGCCTTGCTCTTTTCCAATGCTTCCAAACTATTTCTTTCCTCCTCCAAAAACATGATATTAAACAACTGATACTAACCTTTATTAACTGCTGTCCTTCACAATTTCCAGTTCTCATTCACTGAAGATTTTAGCCCTTAGCTCAGTATCATACACCCTTTTCCTCCCATCACCTATAGGTGACAAATTTCCACATGCACGTGCTTCACCCAGTTGGCTAGATCTTAAGCAGCAACTTTTACAGCACCTCAGGTCATAGCAGAGTGCTAGATGACAGGACACACTTTCCACAAAGTCCTCACAGAATAGGAGTTGCTGTGGAATACGCTGAGGTGGAAGCCTAGCAGCAAAGGATCAAGTTCAGCCCCAGACCCCTGGGCAGGCTGGCCTGGCACTGGGAGTCATCCCTCCACCTGGAACCCAGTCTGCACCCCAGAAAGACCCACCTCACCTTAATGATGTGGTGTGCYGCCTTGTACATGCCAGTGCCGTGCAGCTTCAGGCCTGGTGCATGGCGGCCAGTCTCATAGCCTTTTTCCACCATTGCCTGTGGGGACAGCAAGTAGGGACCACAGGACCTGTGAGAAGTGGCAGGCAGCACTCTAGTTTTCCCACCTGGAGAAGGGCCCTTCTTACCCGAGGATCACTGAAAGTGATCCAGTGCTTCACCCGGTCCCCAAAAGCCTCAAAGCACAGATCAGCATAGTCACTGAAGTAGCTGGTCATGCTCGCGTTCTGCCACCCGCCATATTTGACCTGGAGCAGCTGCCAATGGAGAGAGAAGTCRGTGCCCTGAGATTTACTTCTGGAGCCAATTGGCCAAATGGGTAAGAGGAACAGGGGTGAATACAGCACAGAGAATGTTTAGAGAGCCTTGTTCAGGGAGAGGTGAGCAAAGGTGCAGGGTGGTGGGCCCGGAGCTCTGATTGCAAAAGCAGTAAGGAGCCACCTAACTATTCATTTATTTATTTTTTATTTTTTTCGAATTTTTTTTATTTGTAGTTGGAAACATACCTTTATTTTATTTATTTTTATGTGGTACTGAGGATCGAACCCAGAGCCTCACACATGCGAGGCGAGTGCTCTACCACTGAGCTACAACCCCAGCCCCCCACCTAACAATTTAAATATGGAGGGAAGGGCTGGGAATGCAGCTCGGTGGTATAGCACCTGCTCAGTGTGTGTGTTGGAGKGCTGGGTTCAATCCTCAGCACCTTTTTAAAAAAATGTGTGGGTAATAATTTAAGCCATCTAGCATACAAACGAGGGAGGGAGCAGGGAAAGTGAGACTTTGAAGGAAMCTGACAGATTGGATATTTAAGAAAATTTGCCTAGGGAGAGGCCTGATACTGAAAAAAGCATTTGGAATGTAAATTGTGAGGAAATGAGGTATGGCTCCAGACATGCAGGCTCAGATGAGGATTTGAGGGCTGCATAGAATCAGAGACCTCCAAGAGTCTCTACAGTTCAGGTGGGTCTGCTTTCTTCAGCAGGGAGCCCTATCCCAGCTGAAGGCCTCTGCTCCTGCAGTAGGGTTTCCACAGATCAGTCCTGTTGTGATTACCTAGAGTTCTTTGGGAATAAGCCCCAATTCCCAATCACCTTCGCTCCCTATAATTGAAGTCTTCCAGGTCTGGCCCAAGCCACTCCTCCAACCTCTGACCTTTCTCCCCACTTTACCTGCTCCTCCAGCCCAGTCACCTGCCCAGTGCCTCACCCTCACACGGAGCTGCCTCCGGAGAGCCAGAATTCCCTTTCCTCTCACCTCCTGCTCAAAACCTTCTCCCCAGCACATATATAAACTTGTTAAATACATCATGGTACCAAACCTGAATCAAAAGATATTTCTTGGACCAGAGGCATAGTTCGGTGGTAGAGCACTGGTCTAGCACATGTGAGGTCTTAGATTCAACCCTCGGCATCACAAAGAAAAAGAAAGTTTCTTAATACTTTTTTTTTTATGCCAAATGTTTTGGAAAACACTGGGATTCACACTCTTCACTTACTATAAACTTCAACTAAAGCAGTGGATCCTCCCAGCCATGTGAGAAGGTGCTATGGTTTGAGTGTTTTTGGTTCCCTAGAATTCGTAAACTTAGTTCCCAGGGCAACAGGAAGGTGACTGAATCATAGGGCTCCCTCCTCATGAGTGGGATTGGGGGCCCTCATAAAATAACTTGAAGGTCATCCCCTTTGCCCTTCCACCTTCTGCCATGTGAGGACACAATTWTTTCCCTCCAAAGGATGTACCATCCGAGTGCCATCTTGGACCTTTGGGCACCTTGATCTTGAACTCCAGAACTCTGAGAAATATCTGTTCTTTATAAATTACCTAGTCTGTGGTATTCTATTACAATGGCACAAATGAACTAAGACCAAAAGAGATTTCTTCACTCAATCCTTTTAGTCCTAAGCCAGAGTCCAGACCCCAGACTCTGTCCTACCTTGGCCACCCTAGATCTTCCACACTCCTCCCCGCTGAACCTGCACCAGCCCTCACCTGCGGCAGATCCCAGTGGTACAAGGTCACAATGGGGGTGATGTTGCTCTTCAGAAGGGCATCAATTAAATCACTGTAGAATCTGATTCCCTTTTTGTTCACCTGCTCAGCTGTAGGTGAAATAAAGAGATAAAAGAGGACTCTACAACAAAGGCCCTGGGGCTTGCCTCCTATGGTGGACCTTGCTGGACCCTATGGCTTTCCCCAGACCTGAAGGCACCTGASCCTCAGAGTGCTTTAGGAATGCCTGGGAGCCAGTGACCCACACACCTGTCAGACTGCTGCAGCCACAGCCAGGCTCCTGGGCTGGTTGTCCTTCCCAGGACTTTGTGGTGTCTCTGCACTTGGGCTGAGAAGGGGACTGTRCTCTAGCTCACCTCGGATGCCTGTGGGCAGGAGCCGGGGCCAAGACAGGGAGAATCGGTAGTGGCTGACGTTCATCTCCCTCAGCAGAGCGATGTCCTCCTGAGCAGATGGAGTGTGAATGGGTACAGGGCTGGGTCACCTGGGGACCAGGTGGGGATCAAGGGGGAGGCAGGGGTCATGGAGCTCCTGGGCCAAGGCCCATTCCTGTCTGTAGCTCTCTATAGCTCCTCGTATAGTAGGGGTGAGGTCACCTGTTCCCTCTCCATGCCGGGGTGGCCGAGAGTCAGGTGAAATGCAGGGTCTAAGGGCACTCTGAGAAGTCCACCAGATGACACTGATAAACTCGGGTGATGAATCCCTCAAGAAGCCAATGCAAGAAGAAAGTGGGTGCCAACAATGAGCTGGCCTGTCTCCTTCACTGGAAGCAAGTTCACAGGCAAGGATCAGGTTCAGGCAGCTGCAGGCTGGAGGCCCTGGACCAGGGCATCAGCCCTTAAGCCCCCCTCACCTAAACAGAGGGTCTGGTTGAGTGAGGTCACGTGCACCCCCCTCACTCACCTGGACCTTGTAGTAGCCATCACAGGCTGTGTCTGCAGTCTCATCCCCGAGCACCTTCCCCTTCCCGCTGTGTGTGAAGGCGTCCCAGATGCTGGGCCCTTTCCCGTCCTGGTCCCAGGCCCCCTCAGTCTGGTAGGCAGAACTGCCCACACCCCAGGAGAAACCTGTAGGTGGAGACCCCTGCTGGGCCCTGGGCCACCCAGTGCTTCACCTGAAGCCAGGACATCCTGCCTCTGGCCTCAGGGCAGGACCCCTCCATGGCCTGTCTCCCTGGGAGCAAGAGTGTATGGAGCAGTGGGAAGAAGATATAATAATTAAAAACATTTTTTTTTTTGCACAATTTTAGCTCTGATTAGCATTTGTTGCCTTATTTTGGTAATTTTTTAAACAAATCTTTTAGGAACTTTTATTTTAGAATAATCATGTGGAGGTGTGTTTCTCATCCTCCCCATCAGGAGTAAAAGCACCAGTCTCCTCAGCAAGTCACCTGAGGTGGGCAGGCCAACAGACAGATGGACAGTCAGAGGACAGACCTGCAGAGRAGTGGAGGGGACGTACCAGGTGGGAAGGTTCCGTAGTAGAAGGAGGCCTCTTCTGGGAAGCCATCCCTGGCCCCCAGCCTGGACACCAACAGTAGCACCCAACAGAGAGTGACAGCCTGCACTTGCTTCATGGCACTCGGCCCTCCTCCATACCTGGAAAAGGCACCTGTGGGGCCCATTCAGCCAGGCTGGGGCAAAGGTGGAGGGGGGAGATAGGAAGAGGTGGGGCACTTTGTCTGGACCCACCCCAGGGGCTGAGCTAGGCACTGGGCGCCACTCCTGAGTTCAACACTGAGCGGAAGACAGCRTTGGGCTTGGGGAGCTCTGGGTGGGCAAAGCCCAAACCAGCCCCTCCCTCTATGCTGTCTGATGGGGGAGACCCAGCCATTATTCCTTGAGTGGCCCCTAGCTGATGGGGAACCATCTCTGCTGAGGGGAAGCTCCAGTCCCTGCAGCCCTCCCACCTGCATACTCCCCTTCCTGGCAGGGGGATTATCCCTCCAGGACCCTCAGTCCCATCAGGAGAACTCCTTTCCACTCTGATGCCAGCCCAGCCGACTTACTTAGGATTGTCCTTGGTCCCTGACACCCCAGAGCAGCCGCTGATGGCCAGAGCTCCCTCGGACTAACCCCTGAGCCTGCACTGCCCCTGAGAGCAGAGCCCACAGTGCAGAAGGCTCTGGCTGGGGGTGTGGTCTGTGGCCTGACCCCCTACAAAGAAYTTCAATAGCCCCAGGGGGAGGGGACAACAGGAGTGCTGAGCTGGCCTGAGTCAGCAGTGGCCTTGGCCCTGGGCCCTGGGATCCAGCTGGCCCCTTCCAGGGTAGAGGGGCAACAAGGTTGGAATGGTCCCCAGTCCTCCTGGCCCATCCAGGACCACCTTCCAGTGCCACCTTCAGCACATCTTAGTCCTGCACGTCCCGGGTGGGGGATGGGGTGGGACCAGCACCTTGGTGCCTGTCTCAGTCTCCCTGCTGCCACAGAAAGTCCCTATWGAAGGTAAAGGTGAGTTTTCCACTTCAGCCTCCTCCCTTTGGACCTGCCATCCATTCCTTCCCTCACTCATTCAACCAGCTGCTGCTGGAACATGGTGGGCAGGGGGCCAGGGCCACCACCAGGGCTTCCTTCCCCCAGTGACTTCTCAGTCAAGTCCTCCTCCTCTTGCAGCACCGTTGCTCCACTTCCAGCCACCCTGCCTCAGCTGAGACCCCTGTGTGACTCTCTTGTGGGCAGGTCTCACCCCTGTGTGGGATCATTTCTTTCTTCTCCTCCCATTATGGATGGGCAGCACCTCCTCCAGGAAGCCCTCCTGGACCTGCTTCCCAAGGCCAGATTGGGCATTCCTGTTTCCATCCCTGCAGCCCTGCCCTTCCCTGGCAGTGGGCTAAGTGCTGGTCTGTCCGTGCTGCCTCCTTGTAGGTTCCTGGGAGGCAGGGGTGTGCCAGCCTGGTCCACCTAGAGTCCCCAGTGCCCCTCACACTGGTGCTCCGTAGTATGAGATGAATCTAAATAATATAAGAATTATTCTAAAAACAGCTGATTCTCCCCCAAAAGTCAGGCAGGCAATTAGAAGCAGCTTCACCTTGTGGGTTAGGGTCTCTCCTGGACCTGACCACCAGCCAGCCTCAGGTGGGCCCATTCTGAGGTTGTTCCAGCTCTGTGCCCATTTTGAGGTGGAAGAAACTAGAAAGCTAGCTCCTCCACCACTGCCTGCCTGAGCTCCTCAGGGATTGGCCAGAGGTGTGCCAAGGAGGTGGGTGCCTGGACACCAGGGGAGGGGACCAACTGGGGTCTGGTGCTGGCTCCTCTGGGCTTCCACTGGCAAAGCCTGTAGTGAGGGGACTGAGGTCTTGCCCCAAGTTTGGAGGTTCTCCATCCAGCTTTATGGGGGCAGGAATGCTTTTTGGAGTGGTGCTGGGCTGGGTCCCTGAGCAAAAATTTCCTGYCCATCGCCACCCCCACCCCAACAAGCGCATCCTTCCCTCCACAGACATTTCCAGCAGCTTCGGGCCTACTGGGGAATGGATGGGGGGGGGGCGGTTGTAAACACTGTACAGGGGGATGGGGCAGAAATGGAAATGCGGCACCCTGGGAAGCTGGGGGTGGGGCTGGCATCATAAGGGACTGGAAGGAATTGGAGGTGGTTACCATGGTGACCAACACTGAGCAGAAGCAGCTGCCCCAGGTGTGTTTGGAGACCTGGGGGGTTGGTAGCTTCCCTCCTCTTGCTCCTGTTGTGCAGTGCCGTGTCCACAGGGTCAAGTGGGCTACAGGCCACCTCTTACTGGTGCCTCAGACCCACACATGCCAGTGCAGGCACTGGGCACTCTGTGCTCTGGACTGAGGGCTACAAGAAATACAAAACTTGAGGATTGATGTCATCTCTGAAAAATGCCTCTTCCCAGGAGCCCAGGCCCCGTGTTTGTGTGGGAGGAGGCTGGTCAGCCCAGCTTGGCAGGGTGACTCAGGGTTTGTGTAGAACCCAGTTTCCACAGTTCTGATGCCCTGTTCTCTCCCAGGGGCTCCAAATCTGGCTCTGGCTAGAAGCAAGGTGAGCCTCCCACCTCCTTCCCTTCCATGCACACACTCCAGCGGCTTCCCCGGCTCTGCTTGAGGCCAGGATCTCCYAGTACCTGGGCCAGGGCAGGATCCTTCCCTGGGTGGGGGCCTGAAGTCCCTGGCATCAGGTCCTGGATGACAAACAAGGTGTGTTAGGGGACAGATGAGTGGCACTTAGTCTCTGCAGCTTCGTCTTCTTCCCCCTCATGCCTGCAAGGGCCATGGAGTTGGGGACCCCTCATAATAGACGTGTACGTCCAAGATGTAGCCTGAGTTCTGTAACTCTGAGGATGGACTTAGTAAAAGCAAAGGGTGGTGTGGTCTTCAGTCCTGGGTGACACCGTGGTATCCCAGGCATTGGGGCAAGGTGGGATGGGTGCTGGAAGAGGCACAGCTGAAATCTGACAGCTTGGCTGGGGTCTTTGATAACTGATCTTGGGGCTCTGTATGAGTGGAGACGGGGACAGAAAAATGCAAGAAATCACCAGCAGAGGAGCTCAGTGTGGGAAGCTCTGGCTGGTTTCAGAGCTTCCCCCCTCCCCCCTCCCCTCCCCCCTCCCCTCCCCCTCCCCTCCCCCTMCTCCCTCCTACTTCTCCTTCATTGTCATCATAATAGCAGGTGCCATCCACAACCACTACTCAAACCACCATCCTGGCTGGGAGAGGTTGTGGGCTTCTGAGTCTCAGAGCTAAGCTTATCCCGCCCCCTCCCGTTTCCTAGGAGAGGATGCAGGGGCTGGAGATCCAGGAGCTTTGCTATGTTTGGATGAGTGTCCCTCAAAGGCCCAGTGTTAAACTTGGTCCCCAGGGTGGCACTGTCAGGAGGTGCTGTGAACCTCTAGGAGGCGGGGTCTAGCGGGAGGTCCTTAGGCACTGGGGGTCATGTTCCTRAGGAGGACCAAGGGATCCTGGCCAGTCCTCTCTTCCTTTTTGCTTCCTGGCTCCCGAGGAAAGTCTGTTTTGCCATGTGCTCCAGCCATAATGTGCTGCTCTCGCCAGAGGCCCAAAGCGTAGGGCCATGCATGGATCATGGACTGGAACCTCCAGAACCAGGAGCCCAAATAAACCTTTTCTCTTTATTTATTCATTATCTCGGGTATTTTGTTCTAGTGTCAGAAATTGCTAACACAGGCTTACTCAGGGCCATACGGTGATTTATGGGAGGGCAGGCACAAGACAACCCAAGTCCTTTGCCTCCCAGCTTGGAGTTCCTCTCACCCACACAGGCTCCCAGCTTGTCTGTTTTGCCYGAACCAAACATATGGACAGAGCCTGAGGCCTCTCCTTCAATCCCTGAAGACTCAGAAAATCCCTTACATCTAGCCCCCAATCCTTCCTCCCTTTGCTGACCCAGTCATCCAACAAACTACCCACTGAGACCAGTAAACCACACCATCTGCTTTACCACTTGTTCCTCCTGCATCTCCAGACAGGCTGGCCCCACAGCTCCAGCCTCCCTCTCTCCCCAGGCCCCCCTCTTAGGCCATGAACCCCAGCCCAGGCTGTTTCCATCTCCCTGTCTCTGTGGCCAAGAAAACAGGAAGCATCTGAGTCACCCGTTGCCTCCCTGGGCTTTGGCTGTGTGGAGTCAGGGAAGGACAAGGAGGGAAGAGGCTGGCTCCATAGTGGCTGAGACTCTTGTGAAGCTCTGTCTTCCAGCTTGTGCGACCCCCAACAGCCAGCAGTCCAGGAGTCTCCCTGTAATTTTTCTTGATATAAGAGAAAGAGAATGCCTTAAGATTTGGAATTCTGAAGTGGGGCGTGGTGCTACACACCTGTAATCCCAGTGACTGGGGAGGCTGAGGTGGGAGGATCACAAGTTCAAGGCCAGCCTMAGTAAGTTAGCAAGGTCCTCAGCAACCTAGCAAGACTCTGCTTCAAAATAAAAATATAAAGGGGTAGGGATGTGGCTGAGTGGCAGAGTTGATAGAGTGCCCCTGGGTTCAATTCTGAGTACTGGAAAAAAAAAAAAAAGATTTGGATTTGGACTTGGCTCTGCTTCCCACTGGCTGTGGGTCTGGGCTTGTCTGGTAGTTCTCAACCTTGATAGAGTCACCAGGGAGTTATATATATATATATATATATATATATATTTTAGGTGTAGATGGACACAACACAATGCCTTTATTTTTATGGGTGCTAATGCTCAAACCCGGGTCCCGCCCGTGCTAGGCGGGTGCTCTACCACTGAGCCACAATCCCAGCCCCAGAGTTTTGATACCACTGGCACCTAGGCGCTACCCCCAGCAGTCAGGTGTAATTTTTAAAAAGTTTCTCAGGGAATTCCAAAGTGCAGCCAGGCTTGAGAACCCCTGGGCCCATATCCTTAAGCCTCAGTCTCTCACAGGTCAAGTGGGGCCCATGTGGCCTKCTCTGTGGGTGCTGAAAACAATGGAGATCTGAGGTGCAAGTTCAGGTATGTGTGGTTCTGTCCACTACTGGGAGGGTTTGGGCAGAAGTGGGGTATCCCCAGGGGCACCTTGGCCTTCAGAAACCCATTGAGGTCACAGTGGTAGGATATTGATGAGCAGGCTGAGAAGCCTGAGCAAGTCCACCTCCTTTTCTGAGGGCATCTTCCAAAGTACCCTGCATGGAACAGAGGAAATTGGAGGTGAGAACAGCAGGCGTCACT